AGGACTCTTGACACATACACAGGGTAAATATTCAAAATTTACTATTCAACATAGCTGGATCGACAGCAGTGGCTGCAGGACACTGATGCAGAGGGTTTGCTTATACACTTCTGGGCAAAAGGAAGGAAATTATTCTAGGGTCTTGAATTGAGTTAAATTATAGTTCCATGAGCAGGGAAAGAGCCAATATTAGAAGGATTAAATCTAAACTGACCTATACTACACTGTTACCAACATGGAACTCAGCAGGAAAATGAAACAGAGTTGAGTGCTTGTCAGGTTGCCTTCCCAGAAGAAAAACAAAAAGTAATGCTTCCACGAAACAGGGAGCTAACAAAAACTACTTACAACTCCTTTCATATGCCCGTTCTGCACTGAACATGACAAAAAGGGGCAGAGGAGTAATGCAGAAAAACAGAGGGGAGAAAAAAAGTCCTGAGGTCATAGGCAAAAAAGGAAATCCAATCCAGGAGAGTTTTGCCAGTCCAGCCATGCACTGCTGCAGAGCTGAAGAACATTTAAATACACCCAGAATGCAGAGTAGTGCAGGTGAATCAGGTTCCCTAACAAAGCCTGCTGCCTTCAGCACTCGTTAATTACCTCTTCCATTTGGATTTTTACCTGACAGAAGTTGCGTTCAAACCCTGTACACCAGATTTCAGAAACTATCTTCCATTTTCTTCCTAATCCATGAACCACTGACACCACCACTGAGCTGCATCTCCACGATTCAAGCACTGTCAGAACCAGAGAAAAATCAGTTTCTGTGGTTCTCCTGTCACCTCAGAAACTTTTTCTTCCACACCCGATTCCCCAAGTTAACTCCCTCCGACAACACATCCCTCTGATGTGCTGAAAGGTGTTTGAACTGCTGAAATTTGCATGGAGATGCTTGGAAAGCTACCACACACCTGGGCAACCACAGCTGTCTCTCTTGTGTCTGCTTTAATACAAATCCAGAAAACCAGATCAAGCCACACAAAGTTTTTTGTGCTTTTGGTTGTTTGATTATATTTTTGTGGGTTTTTTTTTAAATAAAAGCCCTAACATTCAGAAGTCTGCCCAAATACAAGATTTTTATCCCAGCATCAGGAGCACAGCGCTGGACAAGCAATCAACTCCTACATGAAGAAGCTTGTACAGTGGAAAAACCACAGAATTTATACAGGAATGGGACAGGGAACATAAAAATTTAGGCCTACAACCCCAAACACACAGGTTTCTAAACTGTTCAGCCCCTAAATAACCACTTTTTTTGGATAGTTTTTCTTATTAACCATCAACCACTGCCTGAATATGGAGAGCAGGACATGAGGAACAAAAGCTTTCAGAAAGATCTACTCCACCATCTCCATAGAAGTCCTTCCTCTCCTACACCCAAAAATCCCCTATATAAACCCAGGTATCTGTCTGGACACCACATTTTCCACTTGATTTCCCATTCTTGCAGCTTCCTGTCTTTGTGACAGACACAATAAACCACATTCATTGAACACTGGTAGAACACACAACTTTCAAGGCTTTTAAGTGGCATTATATACAAACCAAGAGACTCACTTGAAATTGCTAACAATTTATAAATTCTGCTCTTGCATTAATCTGCATCAACGTTCTAGGTTTGTTTGGGTTTTTTCCCCCAAATATTTAGAATAAAAAAAGACAGCTTTTAGCACATATGTATCCTACAGAAGTTACCATTCAGGGAGACAAGGATCACTGTAGTTCAGGTGCTAAACAAATGCATTCTGAATTGACTTTTAGAGTGTTTTTCCATCATTTCTGCTCTTATTCTAAACAGGAACTCAAAGTGATGCGGTAAGAATTTCTTTGTTGCAGTTTTTAAAATTCTGACCTGTAATTAAAATCTTTTTAAGAAATTAAGTCAATATGTCCACTTTCTCCGTGGTACTTGAAATTTCAGAATGACACTAACATGAGATGAGAGGAAACACACATTTAGTCTGGAAACCACATCTGATGGAGCTAAATATCAGTCACACCAGGAAACAGATCTGGAATATGAATTCCAGTACGAATTCCTTTTCAAGCACCTTCTGCCCAGTTACTGACATTTATCCAGAATGTGAAAATACACTTTAGGCAGTAATCTACATAAAATGTAAAGGTTCAAAGGTCCAATTTAAGACAAATAAAACCACATGAGACTATTCAAATCTTGTGTGTTTTTATAGAGATTTAACAGCAAAATTACAACCCATTTATAGCTACCAATATTATTCAAAACTACACTTTGAGAAGACAAAGTTCTTTTTCACAGGGAAAAGCATTTTTACGTAAATCCTAAAAGATGTAAAATGAATGGGAAAAGCCTGTATTGCTATTATTAATATAATATCAAAATAAAGACCATACTACTACACACAGCAGTTACTGCCAGGGGAAAAAAAATCATTTTGTTATACAAATGGCAAGAAATAAATTATTTATTCTTTAGTTACCCTCCTAGAAGAGGAAAATACAATCCACCACATTCATGGATGCATGAAAAAAACAGAACACAATCCCCTAAACCATCAAAGCCACCTCTTGTACTACTTAATCTCTAGAAAACACTCCTGCTTTTCTCTCCTCCTATCATCCTCCCCAAAATATCTATTAGCTTGGTGGAGTTCATAATACTGAGAGTTCCCATTCAATTATTACTCATATGGCAAACCATTATATTACAAAAAAAAAAAGCCCTTTCCACGACAGGTAACACACTCTGAAGCAAAGTCACATCACTAGATGTTGAAAGAATTTTTAAAGCTATTTCAGCAAATTACACATTCAAGACATGAATGTTATTCTAAGAATATTCCTTTCTGGATAAAGTATTCCAATAAGCTACTAGTTGATTGCTGTGTCACTACACATGCTTAGTACCTTTAAAACCCAAGGCTGAGGCCAAAAACAGCAAAGAGCTTTTGACAAATAAGCACTATGTCATTTTCCTTTCATGTATACATTTTAACCTTCCTGCAAAACAAAAGGTCAACCAACACAAACACCAATCCCAGCCATGTTCCACAAAAACTGCATTTAAGACATAGTAGTACAAAAGACAAATTAATTTCAGAACTGTTTTTCTCTTGTTGAGTTACCTGTAGAGTTTTACAGTCCAGTGAGAGAATTTGTCCAGCAACCAGTGTCTCTTCCCTTTTTGTTCTGTTAACAGGATCTCAGATTTTAGGTCCATTAAATTTCCTGCACAGATTGATCTCAAAGATACACACACACATTCTGTACAGAATCTCAGCCACAAATCCTGCTCTGAAATCCCAGGGCTGTGTTCCCCATCCACAAATCACACCACACAGGCAAAGGTGTTCCCACAAAGAGGGCAGGGTAACAAAACCCCTGATTTCAGGGGTAACAAAAACAGGGACAGGTGGAGAAAGGAAGTGGTGGAATTTTGGATGTGGACAACATCAATGAGACAACCAACTGTTCCAAATAACTGCGTAACATTTAATATTTTCTGGCTCCAATCCAGTTGTACTCCTGACCTTACCTAGAGAACCAGGGACGATAAAGGCAGATTAGCTTCGAGGAATGTGGGACTTTTTCAATTAATCCAGGAGGGGGAAAAAAATACATCAAACAACCTAATGCCAAAGGAGTGTGACTTTTAAAGGGACACTGCAATACGATCTCACTCTTACACTAACATTTGCATTAAATATTTCAATATGAATTCCCAAATGCTTCTCTTTACAAGCGAACTTTTTGTTTAATGCCTTTACTAGAGCACTGCTCTTACCCCATGAAACTGCCAAAAACTGGGCTCCAGGCTGACGCTGCTCCAGTGCCAGGGCCTGCAGCATACGCTGCTCCCAGAGCACTGGAACAGGACTGACTGTGAGGCAGCTAACACAGAAACAACACAGCCAACACTCTTTCAGACAGAAAACAACAAAAAAAGAACGGGAAAGCAAAGAGTAAAGTCTACCCCTTGTCACAAAAAAGCATCATCAGAGCACAGGAGGTCTGGGAAGAGATGTGAGAACTGGACACGTACAGCATATGCTTCACAATTAGTTGTGGGGATTTAAGGAGAACGAGTCTCTGTTACAGCTGCAATTCTCACTGTACTCCAAAATCAGGTTTACAACCGGAAAAAGAAAAAATATCACATTTCTCCAAGAAGTGCAAAGGCTCCTCTGTGTGATCCAACTTCTGCGGCACCACCGGGCCGACACGAGCCGCGCTGAGGGGACGCCGCTGCCCTTCCCCGCCGGGGGCTGTCCCTGGTCAAGGGACCGGAGCGCTGCCCCGGTTCTTTTTGGGTCACACGGTCCCAGCGAGCGCAGTACCAGAACAAACCAAAAATAAACCCCCAAAGCCCACACACCTAAAAAAAGCCCTAAAGAGAAGAAACCTCAACCACTTCCCCTGCGCTACCGCTCCGGCTCCAAAAGGCAGCCACGGATTTACGCGCTCGCCTGAGGAGGGGAAGGGGCAAAGCCAGGCGGCCCGGCTCCGGCAGCGAGGGGACACCTCCTCCTCCTCCCTTCCCTTTCCCTTTGTTTACTTTACGGACCGTCCCGCTCCACCTCGCCGCCTCCCGATACATCCGGTGGGACCGGCCGGGACTGCGGGGCGGGCAGGGCGCAGGGGGCGGCCGGATCCCCCGGGGTGGAGGACGGGGCAGGCGGGGCAGCAGATGACCTCTCCCCGCAGCCTCCTCCTCTGCCATCCCCTTCCCATCCTGCCTTCCCGCGGAGGGAAGCGGCTATGCCCGGAGAGACCCCCAGACCACCGCGCCGTGCCTCCTGCGCCCCGGTGTCCGCGGCAGCCCCTCCCCGGGGACACAGGAACGGGCGGCACCAGGGACAATCCTCCCTTCCCTGCGGAGCCGCCGCCGCTCCCCGAGCCGGGGGCTGGGGCGAGGGACACGGAAGGAGACGCCGCTGCCCCCCTACACCCCCTCCCCGTGATGTAAATCGGGGCCGCTTCGCCCGCCCCCTCCCCGGGCAGCGCTCGCCGCCGGCACTCACCGCGCTGCGGGCACGGCCGCCTCCAGCGCAGCGGCGAAGACAAGCCGCGGTGGAGGAGGAGGAGGACGAAGAGGAGGAGAAGGCTCCGGAGGGTCTGCGCGGGCAGTGCCGCCTCCCTCCTCCTCCCCTCCCTCCCTCCGTCCCTCTCTCCCCGCCCTCCCGGCGCGCTGCACCATGGGATGCGGCGCTGCCCCCCCCAACATGGCTCTGGGGGGGTCACGGTGCCGCCCCTCAGGGAGCGAGGCGGGGGAGGTGGGGAGGGCGCGTCCCGTCCCCGCGCCCGCCTCAAGGGCTCTCCCTTCCCTGCTTCTTTCCTTCCCCGAGGCAGCGCAGAACCTGACGGGAAGAGGCGAAGTTTAACCCGTTGTCCTGGCTCAGTGGCACCGGCTGGCACAGCTGTTCTCTTGTTCCAACACTGGGATATTCCGGTTGTGGAGCGTCCCTCCCTGGAGCTGTCCCTGTGCCTGTGCTCTGGGATGGCCCTGCTTGAGCACGGGGTCGGACCAGATGGCTCTGGGCAGATCCTTGGCTGATAATTCCAAGGTTGTGGGTTCGGTCCCCGTGTGGGCCGTTACAGGTTGAACTCGGTGATGTTTGTGAGTCCATTCCAGCTCAGAATATTCGGTGTTCTGTGACCCACTGCGGTCCCTGCCAACCTTACCCAGTCCGTGGTTATGTGAGTGTGATAACCTCTTTCAAGGAAATAATTGGAATTTACTTTAAAATCACCACAGTGTTTGAATGCGCATCAGTCACTGTGTATATTTAATTAAACATAAGTCTTAAATCACAGGATTATGGCACGGGAAAGGTTGGAAGGCATCAAAATGGGGTCATCTGGTCCAATCTCCCTGCGCAGGCAGAGTCATCCAGAGCACAGCCACAGGGTTGTGTCCAGATGATTCTGGAATATCTCCAGTGAAAGCAACTCCACACCCTTTGTGTGCAATTGTGGAACTTCCTGGGCATCAGTTCCTGCCCGTTCCTCTTGTCCCATTGCTGGGCACACTGAGCAGAGCCTGGTCCATGCTCTGAGCCCTCCCTGCAGACACTGACAGACAGGGATGAGGTCCCTTCTCAGTTGTGTCTTCTCAAGGCTGAACAGCCCCAGCTCCCTCAACTTTTCCTCATAAAAGAGATGTTCCAGTCCATCATCTCTGCTGAACGCACTCCAGGAGGTCCATGTCTTGTTCTGAGCCACCCAGAGGTGGACATTCCAGATGAAATGTGGGAGCTGGCCTCTTCTGCCCGGCAACCAGTGACGGGACAAGAGAAAATGGCCTCAAGCTGCACCAAGAGAGGTTCATGATGGACACTAGGAATAATTTTTTTCATGGGAAGGGCTGTCAAGCATTGGAACAGGCTGCCCAGGGAGGTGGTGGAGTCAACATCCCTGGAGGTGTTCAAGAAATGACTGGACATGGCACTCTGTGCTGTGGTTTAGTTGACATGGTTGTGTCTGCTCAAAGGTTGGGCTCGATGATTTTGGAGGTATCTTCCAACCTTAATGATTCTGTGATTCTGGGAAAGAGCCACTTTAAATGTCTCTGGTAATCTTTCCCTTATCTCTTGTTGCAGCTGAACTCAGTTTTTGCTCTCCTGCCTGCCCCAGGTACCTGCAGCTTGAGCAGATCCCAGATTTCCACCTCTGGAAGTTACTGTGTGTCTGGAAACTGGAGGCAGGGCCACAGAATCCTGGAATATCCTGAGTTGGATTGGACTCACAAGGGCCATCAAATCCAGCTCCTGGACTGCATCTATCAAGGGCTGATACAGAACTCAATATAATCAATGGTATTTGGAATGTGCATTTCACTGATAAAATCTGGGCAGTTTATTTCAAGGTAAGGCAAGTCCCACTCTTAAACTTAGCTACATTTATTAGTTTACCAGGCACCATAAGGAAGCTCAAGGGGAATGTGGAACAAGTAAAGACCTGGATTGCAAATGCAGTTTTTCAGGTGAATCCCATGTGAAACATCCCAATCCCTTCCAGGAGCCAATCCATTAGGTAAGTTCTGAGCATGATAAAAATACACTGAGCACCATACAAATGATTCCTAGAAACTCTCTTTTAAACAGCAATCCAGTATTCCCATCCATGTTTTGCAGAAATGCTGGGACATAACCAGCAGGCTGTTGGATATCCTGGAGACAGAACACCAAAACCACTTTGTACTGAAGCTGGATCACTATGCAGAAATGAAGGAAGGAAGGAGGGAGGGAAGAATTATTTCAGTTATTTTATAATTATTGGTCTTGGGATCACTATTGGTGCTCTTGCCAGAAAGGGCAGAAATGTGCTAATTAAAATTACTGATGCCAGAAAGTTGGGAGAAATCGATAAAGACGATGTTCGTGGTAACACACAGGAAAAATCAGATGCTCCTGAGGGCTGGAATGGTAAAAATAGAAGGAAATGACTGAGAGAAATAGGAGCATGTGTTCTGATTAATATACAGAGAAGGGGTGGTATAAATACTGGAAACAGAAAATGAAAGGGAAAATGGAGCTTCATAAATTTTTATGATACAGTTATTACCAACAGCAGGGAATTGCACTAAATGACCCTTCCCAGAATTTGATCCCAATTACTGATCATTTCTCCTCTGTCCCTGCTTTCACCCAAAGATGTCAGAGTGCTGTAGCCTCTGAGCAAACTTGTGAAGAAGATAGTTATCCCCATTTTTCACACTGGAAAGCTGAAACAATATTTGAGTTGTCAAAAACACAGATAATTCACTGGATGAACAGGCCTAAAAGCTAACAGCTCCTCTCCAGAGCTGTATCCTGTGCATTCAAGACAGCAGCAATACCTACTTTCTGTCATGCACTGGATGCCCAATTGATTTCATATAAAGGTTTAATAAACATTTTTCATTTAGGCATTTTTTCAAATGCCCTTGCTTTAATAAACAGTTATTATTCCTCTATTTTTAGAACTTTATGCTCTGCAGATTCTCTGAACAACACCAGTATACCAATTCTCTCCAATTTACAGGTGGAAAAACTATTAAAGAGTTATTTAGGTGATTTATGGAGGAAAGAGAATAAATCCAGAGCAGTGGTAGAGCTGTGAATCTGATTCTTACATTCTGTTCTATCTTCTAATAGTTTCACCTTTTCATATGGAAAAAAGCATGTTGTCTGAAGTCCCTGGGAGATTTTCTATTGGTTCTAATGGGATGAAGGCAAGCCCAAAATAATCTATCAAATTGATGGTTTGTTGTAAATCCTGAACATTCTGTTTCAGGTCCTGGTGACAGGTTTTTTGTTGGTTTCTTGTTGCTTTCCTTCATCAGAAAATTGCTTGTAAAAGCAGAAGGCTTCAGCAACATACTGACTTTGATAAAAATGTGAGGGAATCTCACAGGTTTTAGTCAAATGTAGAGAAAGCTCCATAAAAGCTGATCATTTGAGCTCTCAGCTGGGAGAGGAGAGATGTGGTGATGTCCAGTGAAAAGTTTTTTCATTATCTAAACTGATAACCTCAGTAGAAACTCATGAGGCTTGAGCAGGGTGATAAGTCAGGGTTTCTGTCAGCACTACAAGGCACCCACAAACAAATCCCTTCCTTCCTTCCTTCCTTCCTTCCTTCCTTCCTTCCTTCCTTCCTTCCTTCCTTCCTTCCTGCCTAGAATCCAACAAATCACTGTCTGATTACCCCTATTTTTCTCAATTAAGTGAGGGAGAGCCCTGGTAATGAGCCCAAATCTGTACTCAGCTAAACTTTTATAAGTTGTGACTTGCTCCTTTTGTCTTCTACATTCTTGTTTTCTTCTAATCCATGAGAACTTGTGTAGAAATGTAAAATTATTTTCTCATCCGCTCTGGCTACACAGAGGTTGTTGGTAGGTGGAAAAGGCAACTGTGCCCTGTAATTTATTATAGAATGATTAATTTGGAGAGAAGACATTTAGTTTAATACTACTGGTATTATTGGAGCAGTCCATGCCATTACCTCATTTAATTTACAGGGCTTATTAAACCTGGTATAAACAAAAAGGTAGGAAATTTCATTATAGTGTAGCATGTATTGTCTTTCCTTCTATGAAGTGACGGAGCTGGGGGTAATGGCTCTGAAGAGAACGAGTTCTTTCCGGTGTTTGGGAGCACAGCTGCAGCCAGGCATCCTCCACTTTTCTGCAGGATGGTAAATATTCATTAAAGGAGCCAGAACGAGCAGGTAGCTCTGAACAGCAGGGTATTTCAAGCTGCGCTGATGAAATATTGATTTGGGAAAAAAAGAAAAAGAGAAAATGGCAAGATGCTAAATATTTCACATTATACACAGTAACATCCTTTATTATAAGAGGATTTTTTTAAAATCACCTAAATCAACCTCAGATGAAGAAGTCAGCTGCATATGTAAGGAGTCTACATAGTACTCTGGCATTGGTGAAAGAAAAGTACATAGTAGATACCATTAAACATTCACCAAAATGTGAATGTTTATATATCTCTGTTTCTTTCGGGATTTAAAAAAAAAAAAAAAAAAAAAAAAAAAGCATTATATCAGCATTTCTGGGCAGTGCCTGAAGTGGGAGCTGAATGGAAAGTCACCAGTGGAGGTTTTTCTAATTTATTAAACAAAACACAACACAAAGAAATTCTTAAGAAAAGCTCCAAGGGAAACTGGCAAACCCACACAAGATCAGGAAGGAAATTTCAGGTAAAAAATCTGGTGTGAAAAAAACAAATCAGCAGCTGGGGGACCCACTTGATGAGTTGCTGTTATTAACTAAGACCTCCAAAGCAAATGTTAATGTGTTAATTAGAGGCAGGGTAATAACCTCCTAGATTTCCCAGTGGGAAACAAAACAAAACAAAAACAAGACAATTTCTGTTCTGGATTTAACTGGCTGAAACCAAACATGGCATGAAGGGAACTCTCCCAGTACTGAGTCTGCATTTTCTCATGTGGGTCTGCAGCATCACTGCCCCAGTGGTACCATACAACACTTACCTGGCCCTGCAGCATGACCAGGTGCAGCCATGGGACACAGGAGTTAGTTACCTTTCTAGAAAATCAAACAAAATCCCTCTCCTGTCTGGTAGCTTTGATTTCTAGAAGGAAAGGAAAGATCCCACATTGGCTTAGTGAGACTGGTTCCAAGGAAGGAATGAAGTCAGGACCCTCTCGGTGGAGCCCTGGTGCAATAACAAGGGAAGTAAAATTCATGATCTATCCTTAAGGGCTGAACTTCCCATCACAGAGTCTTGTCTTTGCATTTTATTTTGGCTTTCAAGACTGAAGTCAACTTC